GATTTTGTTGGGACTTGAGAAAAATCAAGCACAGGAGTAAGTAAGTATTTGCAAGGCAGTATTTGCAAGGTTTTTCCTATGAATTTGCGAGGCAGTATTTGCAAGGTTTTTCCTATGAAATTTGTTAAAAGTCTGTCAAGGATAATAGGGTGTTGATATTAGGAATGTAAAAAATTGTTTTAAAATGCAACATCGCAACCACTAAAAATCTTAGCGGTTACACACACTGCCAGCTCTGCAATATAAAGGATATATATACACTGCAGAGCCCACAGTACAGCCAGCTAAGCTCTGCAGTATAAAGGATATATATACACACTGCAGAGCCCACAGTACAGCCAGCTTTCCAGAAATGGAGCCAGCTCCCAGTGTGCACTAGCTCCTGGCTGCCAACCCCACTTCCAGGGAGCCGGCTGTGCTGCAGACTCTGCAGTATAACTTTATATTGCAGAACAGATACATAACCGTAATAAAACTCAATAAACATATGCTTATCCGTTAACCATTTAAACGGTTAAACTTTTACATCCCTAGTTGACAAGTCTGACAGAATGTTACCCAGCAATTCCTGCATTAAGACCATAATTTATGGCCGAGCTATCGCATATTGTTTAGAAGACTATCCAATCTTGATTTACCGGTAAAGTAACCAGTTCCCCCATCATGTGACAGAGAATAAACCACATTCCTTGATAAAATACTCCAATGATTTACTCGTTGATCTAGTGCTTATTTCCAGCCTGAACTCATCAAGCTTGAGCTTCTAGACATTTTATCTTCATATGCCTTTGTCTATTAAATTAAAGAGCCCTCTTTCCATCAGTTACCTTCTACATCATAGGTACTTCTTGACTGTGATCAAGTCACCCCTTATCTTTCTCTTGGATAAACTAAATAGCTTGAGCTTTTTTACACAACGCACAAATTTTTTAAAGAAATTAATTATAAAGTCTATTACTAAGCCAGTTCCATTTTTTAAAGAAATTAATTATTATAAAGTCTATTACTAAGCCAGTTCGTGCCGTAACACAGAGAATTCCACCATTTCCCCATAGCTGAGTAATAAATTACCATCTACTGTAAGTTCAAGACAACTTCTGATCTACCAGCCTTAACTATGATCTTTTACTTTTTAAAAAGAATAACACCACACATCAACCTAAACAACTGACATAAAAGGCACACATTCTCTCTGAAATGTGGTCAGTAAGTCCGGAGTAACCTTGTGGTAGAATATAAGCTTGTCAGTTCCATGTCCACCACCTCTGTAATATACATTTCAATACCTCTTAGACCAAATCTGATAGTCTGTAGTTAGCCTTTATTCAGGCAGATGTCTGTCTAAATATACCAATATTGCCAAATCCAAGGATTTATAAATCTAGAGTCAGACCACAAAAATCATGAGATTTTTAGTAAAAAGAAGTTTGGTGCTTTATTTGCCATCTGATTTCTGTGCATTTAGGGCGCACTTAAATCACATTTTCAAGTTTCCTCTGCAACAAAAAGGAAATTAGAAACTTTACTTATATTTTCAATTAAAGAGGACAGTCCCAGAATCACACAATTCCTGGAGCTGGTGCTTTAAGAAAACACAAATATTGTGAGAGTTGGCAAAATTGGTACATATTCTAAAGGGTGAGTCTGGAAAAAAAAAAATCAAATGGTAGTTTTGCTGGTAGGGATTTATTGTTAAATGTATGCTGCTGCTTGAGTAGTAGTATTAGTAGTTCAACTGTAGTCTTACGCATGACTCACTATGAGTTTCTCAAGGACACCCAGAGTCTAGGATGGATGCTCTTTTATATATTTAGTAAAAATTTCCATAAATATAGCAACCATGTTACATAAAGAAAAACACTTGGTGAAGAAAGACTTTTATCTTGTTTAAATTTACCTTTTTAGATGGGACATGAGACTCATGTCTATAATTTTCCAAGCTGTGGAAGAGCTACCAGAGTACTGAAAGAAAGAAGAGTGACACATCTGATGGGTCTCTGGAGGACCCTAAAGGCCTCTAATAAGAGCCAGGCTAGAGAGAGTAGAGCAGGCTGGAAAATAAGCTCTTCTGCAGAAAATTTTGACTTTTCAGTGAAGTATTTTGTTCCCAAACTGAAATATTTTGATTCAGCATGGCGCTGTGATACCTTGTGGGAGTTGTCATTCTCCCTGAGCTTTGCTTTCTGGCCAAACCATATCTCCCATGATACACCACTCTTCTCCAGTCTCGAGAGCATCCCTGGCATGGTACATGAAGAGAGATGCAGTTCAGCCAGAGAGCCTTGCCCAATCCATGGAGGAGAATGGAAGCATAAAGGCACCTGAACTTCTGTGAGACCCCACAGCATCATTCTGAATCATAATACAAGGCTGCCCCTAAGTGTTCTGCTGCCCATGATGAAAAATGTTTTTGATGCCTTTTAACCCCCTCTATCCAGCCAGCTAAATGACAAGGTGCCTCCCCAGTTAATTTGATGTCCTGGAAGTTGGCAATCAGCACAACTGCTCTGAACAACCACCTGTAAGGAAAGACCTGTCAAAATAGTGCTGCTTTTTGAATTTCCATCGACTACTTGAATAGTCAATAGGCACTTCCGCATTCTCCCTCAGTCGGATTGTTCAGTCTTTTCCCTCCTGTTGAGGCTCTTGTACATTTCAAAGGAGGAATATGGAACTCCATGTGCAACCCAGGGCCAGCAGGAAGTCCTGTTGAGTCCAGGCTGCCTGTGGGCGTGCCTGCTTTGAAATGTACAAGAGTCCCCAGGGGACCTCTTGTACATTCAAAGCCATGGAGCCCAGCACCAGTAGGGGACTCCCAGGTTCCGCTGAAATGTCGCTGCTAGGTAAGAATACTGATAGATGAAGGAGCAATGAACAGATGTTCCAAGTGTTCTTGTGGTACTTTCATTTCAAGCAAGCCCAGATTTATTCTTCTTTATACTTTCTTTCATGGTAGCATCCAAGGGCCCATATGTCAAAGTTTTAAAAAAGAAAACGGCCCATATCCGGCAGCACTTATGTACCTTTCAGCATCCAAGGGCCCATAAGTCAGTTTTAAAAAAGAAAACAGCCCATATCCGGCAGCACTTATGTACCTTTTTGGCTACACACAGAGCGAACACAGGGTAACAAATTCTACTGAAACAGCCAGCCTAGAAAGCTTATGAGGACACAGAGTACGTCTACACAGCAGGACTAAACTCAAAATAAGCTACACAACTTGAGCTATGCTAATTGCGTAACTTAAGTTGAAATAGCTTATTTCGACCTTTGGTGCTGTCTACACAGCAGTTATTTCAAAACAGAGCTCTCTTCCCCCATCTTCCCTTACTCCTCATACAATGAGGGTTACAGGAGTCAGAGTAAGAAGACCATTATTTTGAATTTATTTCTAAGTAATGGGCTTGCTGTGTAGACACGCACTACGTTATTTCAGAATAACTGACGTTGTTCCGAAATAACACTGCTGTGCAGACATTATCTGATAGAGGACAAAGGAAATAAATTAAATGGTAACTAGAGAAACCTTCTGTGGTCTTATTCCCAAACTACAAAGAAAATTTCCATTTCTGGGTGGAAAAACCATAAAAATAATGACTGATGTGTGTTGAATGTGGAGGACGGATAATTTGCTACCACAACACTAGGACTTGTAATGCAATGATGGCCTGCATAAGATGATCGTGCTGGCTCTATGCTCAATGGAGAAACTGCTCATGTGACAGAGGCTGTAAGGACTGCTTCCACTTCTTTTGCAGGCCCTTTGCACCACTATGGCAGTGTAAAACATAACTCAAAGAAAGGTAGAATCTAGCCCTCTGTTTACAAACCTATCTGATATTTTCAAAGAGAAATTATTCCAATGCTCCTATGAAGCACCTAGTAGTTAAAACACCAGGTTAGGGGCACAGAGGGGTGCAGTGTCCACTCCAAATAGGTGGCAGAAGGACCTCTGCCAGAAAGCTAACCAATACTGGCACATTTAAAACTCATAATTCCATCAAAATAAATACAAACATTTTTGTTTCACGAAAATAGTTAAAGTATCCATCTGCTGCAAACGGTTAATTGCTAATGCTATGTCAGGGTTGGCAATAATTTCTGACCAGGGGCCACTTCAGAAATTTTTGAAGTGGCCCCAGAAGGAGGGGGCGGGGGGTAGGACACTTCCATGCTTCCCCATCCACAGACCCTAATTGATCTGGTGGTGGGGGAAGCATGAGAAGTCTTTGCCCCCTTTCTCCTGAGAACCACCAGCTGTTCTGAACAGTTGGCAGTTCCCTATAGGTGTCTGTGCCCCTGGTTGTGGGAGAAGACTTGCACACGCCCCTCCTCCCTCGGGCCAATCAGGGCTTGAAGTGGGGGGAGGGAAGTACACAAAGTCTCCTCCAACCCTGCCCCTGTCCTGCAAGGAGCATGCGATGCTTAGAAGTGCTGCGCCCCTTGCAGGGCAAGAGGAGACTTCGTACACTCTCCCCACTCCCAGGCCAATCAGAGCCTGGGGGTAGGGGGATCTCGAAAAGTCTCTTGCTCCCTGCCCTCAGACACATGGTGCTTAGAGTCAACCACTAGGTTGACTCTAAGCACTGCACGCTCCCTAGTCCCTATGCCCTGATTGGCCTGGGGGCGGGGAAGCAGCGGGGCCTCTGTGGGCCAGATCAACCCGCTCGGCAGGCTAAATCTGGCCCACGGAAGCCCTTTTGCCCACTCCTACACTATGTTTTGGACCACGCACATACCTGATGGCATTGTTAACTTTGGCATGCACACGCTAGCATAGTTAAGTCAAAGAAGCCATGTTGGCCTCTACTCTCTTTGGAAACATGGATCGGGAGGTGGAGAAGTCAACATTTTCTAAAATATAAAAGAACAAGTGGGTAGGAAAACAAAACCATTCTTCGGCTGTCTTGGTAATACTGTTCTAAATGACTGAGTTCAAGTAC